TATGTATTCGCTCGCATGTACTCTTGAGAGACGCGTTTTGGAGCTGTGGCTTGCAAAAACAAATCCGTGAGTGGGGTCGGACCGGTGCGCCGGGTTCCACCACAAAGCGGACAATATCTCTGCGGAGGAAGGCGTGGTATACTGTTTGGTATCAGAGCCAGACTCACGGCCGTTCGGTGTGCCGACGAGGACGTCGGTCTCCCTAAGGGGGGTGGATTGTAGTATCCCACATCGACGACGTGAGGGTTGTCCTTGGGCCTTATATGTATTCGCTCGCATGTACTCTTGAGAGACGCGTTTTGGAGCTGCGGCTTGCAAAAACAAATCCGTGAGTGGGGTCGGACCGGTGCGCCGGGTTCCACCACAAAGCGGAGATATTGTCCCTATATGAATACAATGATTAAATTTGATCTTCAATTTAAAATATTTACACTAGTGGATACCACAAAATCTTATGTTATACTTAATAAAAGTATGAATAAACTCTTAGGTATTAGTGAATCTATTGTTTTGATGGGATACTCATTCTACGAAACTAGTTTCAAAGATCCAACCATCAAACATGTTTGTATATACTTCGAGATCGCATACGTCAAAAATTACAAAAAAAAAACATTCAGAGATCAATTAACGGGACAAAACTTTTCGACGGTTATAAAAAGAAAAATCACGATTTAACGGTCATTTTAACTCTAATTTTGATGATTTTTTGCAGCTACACTCCTTGACCTTATATGAATACAATGATTGAATTCGATCTTCAATTTAAAATATTTACACTAGTAAAAACCACAAAATCTTATATTATACTTAATAAAAGTATGAATAAACTATTACGTATTAGTGAATCTATTGTTTTGATGGGATACTCATTCTACGAAACTAGTTTCAAAGATCCAACCGTCAAACATGTTTGTATATACTTCAAGATCGCATACGTCAAAAATTACAAAAAACAAACATTCAGATATCAAGTAACGGGACAAAACTTTTCGACGGTTATAAACGAAAAATCACGATTTAACGGTCATTTTAACTCCGATTTTGATGTTTTTTTACAACCACACTCCTTGACCCTATATGAATACAATGATTGAATTCGATCTTCAATTTAAAATATTTACACTAAGTGGATACCACAAAATCTTATATTATACTTAATAAAAGTATGAATAAACTATTAAGTATTAGTGAATCTATTCTTTTAATGGGATACTCATTCTACGAAACTAGTTTCAATGATCCAACCGTCAAACATGTTTATATATACTTCGAGATTGCATACGTTAAAAATTGAAAAAAACAAACATTCAGAGATCAAGTAATTGGACAAAAAATTTCGACGGTTATAAACGAAAAATCACGATTTAACGGTCATTTTAACTCCGATTTTGATGATTTTTTACAACTACACTCCTTGACCCTATATAAATACAATGATTGAATTCGATCTTCAATTTAAAATATTTACACTAGTGGAAACCACAAAATCTTATGTTATACTTAATAAAAGTATGAATAAACTCTTAAGTATTAGTGAATCTATTGTTTTGATGGGATACTCATTCTACGAAACTAGTTTCAATGATCCAACCGTCAAACATGTTTGTATATATTTCGAGATCACATACGCCAAAAATTGCAAAAAACAAACATTCAGAGAGCACGTAACGGGACAAAACTTTTCGACGGTTATAAACGAAAAATCACGATTTAACGGTTAATTTAACTCCGATTTTGATGATTTTTTACAACTACACTCCTTGACATTATATGAATACAATGATTGAATTCGATCTTCAATTTAAAATATTTACACTAGTGGATACCACAAAATCTTATGTTTATACTTAATAAAAGTATGGTAGAGTACTATTGTCACAGCCCGTCCCGGAATTTTAATTCCGAGGACGTGAAAAGACGAAAATGCCCTTAAACGGGACTAAGGGGCGAAAATTTAACAATTGGTTTTACTTAAAGTTCCTAAGTTATTTGGTTTTAGGAACTTAAACTAGGCTTAAGTTTGGATTTTTATGTTGGAATTTATGAAATTGGGATTGGGTTGGACACGTGGGATCCCCACACCTCAAAACCCTCCCCATAACCCGTAACATTGTCTCTCTCTCTCCTCCCTCACGAAACTCTCAGTTCTCTCTCCCTCTCCTTCGAACTCACACGGACCACCACAAAACCACCCTAAATCTATACCAACGACGGAGTTAAGACCACCATCGAACTCCTGGAACCTCCACGATCACGTAGACACCATTTTCAGGTAAGGAATCCTTCGTTTTCGCGTTGAAAACTCGAGGTCCGAGTTACTTTTTTTTGTTGGTTGATTTTTAGGACAATCCAAGCTCATAGTGAGCTTAGTGAGGTCCCAAGGAAGCTCGGAGTGCTTCGTTTGAAGGAATTGGACGTCGGGATCACGAGCTGCAAGTTTGGCCGGTTTTGCTTCGACTTTTCCGGTGAGATTTAGTTCTTTTTGAAGCTTAAAAGTAGTATATTGTGATTCTACATGTTTGGGGCTTCATTTTGATATATTATACGAAGAAAATGGGTGAGAAACGAAGGAGAACAAGGCATTTGAAAAATGCCCAGAATCCGGCCACCGGAGAAAAACCAGTCCGGCGAACTCGCGAGGAAGAAGGTGCGCGTGGGGGCGCGTGGGGGCGCGTGCTACAGTAAACAATTATTTTAAAAATATTTCGACGTCCATGACGTCGAGTAGATCACTGTGGTATATTCATATACCCAAATTGAGCACCGTATGAGAAAGTTATTAAGGATTGTTGGTTAGGTGTTCAAATAACGTTTTATAGTTTTTGCATTTAGGTGAAAATATGAATTGACGATCCGACCGTTGGATCGTCACCAAACTTTGATACGTTGTAATACGTAATATTTGAGGATTATAGGAACTTACAGATTGGGAATCCGATTTGCGGATCTTCCGAAATTGGAGTTGTAAGTCCATAATATAGAATGTTAACCGTCACCTAGTTTTGTTAATTGACGGAGATCCGACCGTTGGATGGTAATGAAATTTTAGGAGGTTATCCTAGAGATATATTGTGGACCTCTGGAAGTTATGGATTTAAAATCTGAGTGGTGGATCTTCCGGATCGAACTACGTAGTGACGTATTTTATATAAGTTATATATTCTATCGATATGAATTCTAAGGTTGGAATTGATTATTGTTTTAGGCGCCGATTGTCATGACGCCTTGGCGTATTGTGCTAGGGGAGTTGTAGGGCGAACTCCAGGTGAGTGGGCAGTTTTGTTTTCCGTATATATATATACTTGACGTTTTCCCAGAAATTGAAATTTAATGAAAGTATGCTTTAAATGCAATGTATAAAATTATATGAAAAGTATATTGAAATGTGAATTGAGATGCCATGCATAAAAGTATATGAAAAGTATATAGAAATGTGAATCGAATTGCCATGCATGAAATGATATGAAAAGTATGAATTGAGATATGATGCATATGAATGAATGGTGCGGCGGACGCACAGGTGAGTATCAGGTGAGTATTTAATTACTGTTATGATGATGTTGATGTATATTGAGCTCAAATCCTGCACCATGGTTTAGTGCTTATAGTATTCACCGCATCGCACGCTCGCCTTGGATCCAAGTAGATGCTGGTCGCACAGTCCACGCGGAGTGGGTGCGACGGGCCAGTCGTAGAGTGTTAGTGAGATTTCGACTGGTGGGTGACCTTAGATTATGTGCACAGATGATTGATGAGAAAGCACTAGAGCGTAATATTAACCATTAAGTCGTACAGACTACATTAGGTGGTTCCGACTTATGTGCAGAAGGCCGTACAGGTCACAGAGGTGACTCCGGCAGAGTGAGAGTGATAGATTTTCAGCTCTAGGTTCAACCGTACAGGGCCATTAAAGGGCATCCGGTTGATTACTTCTTGCACCTGATATAATTATTGTTGATGCATTCATACTTAACTGTTGAATTCCGACATGGCATGGCATATTTGTACTGAAAAATGTTGAGTTAATGAATTGAAGTATTGAGAATATATGTATATATATTTATATTTTACATTTCTGGGAAAGTATACAAGTTTTACGGAGAGGGGTTACAATGTTTTAAAGAAAAGTTGGATTTGAAAGGATTTGTTTTACTGACCCACTCAATTTTGGTTTTGCGCCCCTCCAGGTTAAAGAATAGCTGAGGTGTGGTGGCTACGAGGAATTCAGCGGGGTTCTGACAGAATGGACCAAATTAGGACGCACCTTCGGGTGTATTAACTTTGAAGTTGTATAATTAAAGCTTCCGTACTGTGCAAATGGTTACGTCACTCTCACGTGACGGCCAGCATGCCCTCCTTCGGGACGGGGTGTGTCAACTATTGTTTTATTTTTTTTCATAATTATTTTGGTAAACTTCTCATAATTTGAATGATTTTTAATGTTTGGTTTTTCTATGCTTAGTTTATGCAGAAGATAGTTATGACGTGGAAAACCTTACGGAAAACATTATCAACATAACTTTTGAAGGCAATAGATCAAGCCAAAGTTCCAATGCAATTTCATGATGATCGATGTAAATCGAGGATTTTGTAAATTGAGGTTTAAACTTTTGAGAAAGATTTCACAACCTTGAAAACAAAAATTGTTTCATTTTGCATATCCTTGCACATTTAAAATTTGTAATAGATTAGTAGTGTATGTATTATTTTTTTATTAGGCTCTTATTTTCGAGTGTAGATGTAGTACTTAAACGACAAATGTGTTTTAATGTTTTGAAGTAATATTTATGTGTCAATGTGTGGTATGTGCAAATTTAAGAATTTTTTTTTTTTCTTAACGGGTCATAACGGGTCGGATCACTTTACCCGTTGGGTAAAGTGACACGACCTGTTAAGGACCCGTTAAGATAACGGGTGTGACACGACACGACCCGTTAAAATAACAGGTGTCACATGAAAACGACACGAACACGACTGACACGACCCGTTTGCCAGGCCTAGTTGATACCAGTGCCAGTGATTGGGATTGTGGCAAGGTGCACAATAAACACAGCAAACCCAATTGGCAGTGGTGCCAATACCTTTAATTAATCAACATAGACAAATCATTACAGTTCAGTAATTAAAATTAAAATTAATTTTCTTGAAACTAACTGCAAAATTAATTTATACTTACTGGGACATAGGAATTTCTTGCTTTTAGCTCCGGATCAGTGGCAGACAAGACAGTGTAGACAAGAACAAAGGTGCCAACAATCTCAGCACCCAACCCAGTGCCTGTGCTGTAGCCATCGGCAAGCTTATTGGCTCCACCACCATACTTGGTATAGTAAGCACTTTGGAAAGCTTTAACAAGCCCAACACCACATATGGCTCCCAACGACTGAGCCACCATGTACAATATGGCTCTCATCAGTGACACCTTCCTTGTCAAAAACAGCCCAAATGTGACTGCAGGGTTTATATGCCCCCTGCATACAAAAAATGCACATATTAGTAAACCATAAGTTGGATGCTAACTCGAATATGTTTTAGTGAGTAACCGATCTGGTGTTACTAATTCACTTAGATTATAACTTAGGGGTGGTTTGGGAGGGAGGTGCTTAAAAAAAAGCACCCATGAAAAAAAGCTGTGAGGGTTTTAGGTGTTTGGTAAACTGAAAAAAAATGGCTTATTTTGGGAGCTGCTGTGAGAATAAGCTGAAATCAAAGGAAAAAGCTGAAGTTGCTATTTGCAGCTTTGGAAAACTGGCTTTTTTTTTCAAAGCACACGGAGCTACAGTGCTCCTTTAATGAAAAGAACCACTATCAGACTGTTTTTTTTTTCCAAAAGCAATTTTACAAAAAAGTTTACCAAACACTCTGCTAATTTATTTCACAGCCGCTTATTCTCATAGCACAACCGCTTATTCTCACAGCAGTTTTTTTTCAAAGCACAGTAATAACCAGCCCTTAGTGTGTGACAGGTGCTACTTATTCATTCAACCCTTAATTATAATTCATTACTCTATCATTTCTCACTACTTAGACTAACTACATGAACTTACAATTTGAGTGGACTAGGCGCACCACGTTTGGATGTCAATAATGTTAGAGATTCAAATTAATTTTTTTGTGTGTAAGTGACGTGGTATGACTAATCCATCTAATGATAACATTATGTGGACAACTTTAGGTGGACAACACTGCATCAGCGCGTGATGTTTTAGTTAGACCAAAAAATGACTCACTACATAGGTTTTACTTAATTCTTGAAAAATAATTAATGGGTTAGAGAAGGAGAGGATATTTGTTTAAGATCGAAATAAAACCCACCAGAGATGCCAGCAGTGCAATAAACAAGGACAAAGATCATGCCACCAAAGGCCCAAGCAATACCATGAATGCCAACTCCACCACATTGGTTTCCATTTAGGGTAGTGTCAGTCTGTTGCTTGTAACCAATCACAGTGAGCACAGTGACGTACAAAAACAAGAGGGTGGCAATAAACTCAGCTATGATGGCTCTGTAGAATGACCACTTCCCTAGCTCCTCTGGGTCAATCAGCGGCGCCGGCGGAGGATCCTGGTAGTCCTTGGCTGGGTTCCCACTTCCAACCTCAATGTCTTTAGCAATGGCTAGAGAGAGAAACTAGAGAGAGAGAGAGAGAGGGGGGGGGGGGGAGGAGATGAAATGAAGTGAGTTTTTTTTAAGGTGGTGACGTTGCAAGAGGTTGTTTGTGGTTTTTGTGTGTGTGTGTGGGGGGGGGGGGGATGTTTATATGTTATATGGGAGTAGTACAGTGAAGTGGAATTATGAAATTTAATATTTGGTCGGTCGTCCTTCAAGGTCACATATATTCTATTCTTTTATTTGGTTTTTAAGTTATCCTACAATTATTTGTCTGATTCGAATTCTTTATACACAATTTCAGTAAGGTATTAATGAACAATCAACTTCTGAAGTAGAATCTAGATTACTGTTTACGACTTGACAAAATTTTAAATTGCAAGTTTTAGTTTGTGTAACAACATCGATGTTGGGTTAAGCACCATGGCATATGACCCGAAAGGGTGGGAAGCAATAATAATAAAGAATATGAGACGAACGGTAAATTCAACGTCCAAACTTCAAACTCTTGCAAAAGCAAAAACACTAGAATGTATTTGATACTGGTGATTTTCAAGTTATTTCATGTATATATCTAGTCTATGTCTCAGTACCTTTAAGAGCTCGTTGAATGACACTAGTAGGAAAAACAACTTGCGTGACCAAAACACAGTATTGTCGCACAAAAAATGAAGGAAAAAAAAATTATTTTGCGCGACGAAGAAATTAGTCACGCATGAATACTTCGTGCGACAAACATTCATTGTCATCATGCAAAGTCAGTAGGAAAAACATGGGATAATTTTTTTGACGCGAAAAACATGAGTGACGAAGCAGGGGACCTTTGCCCAACAAAGGATTCGTCGCGCAAATTATTGTTAGTTTTTAGTCAAACCATTCAGTGCATGTGAATCTAAGGAATCAATATTGTATTTATTGCAGATGTTTGCAAGACGACGATGTTCATCGCCCAAGGTTTACGCGACAAAGACTTCGTCGCACAAAGGCCCTAACCTTCCTTTAAATATGCAATTCTGCTCTCCTTATTCTTCACAATTCTGTTCGTGCGAGGATGGATGATAAAAATCGGGATCAGAGCGTGCCCGCCAACTCGTATGATCTGAGGTAACATGTGGAGTTCGCGCATGTGATAGGTGTAGCCATTCAAAATAATTGTCCTACTGCTGAGTGGCATTCTTGGAAATATGTGCCCGAGAATGTGAAGAAGGCAGTGATGGATCAATTATTAGTAATTATACTGTTGATGGATGAATAATTAATTTTGTGACATTTTTTTGTTATATGTTGGAATTAATTATTTCCATATATGTGTAATAGTGTAAGTATACTCTTGATGATGATACGAACAAAGAGTTGATGATGTTGATGGAGGAAGAGTTGAAGGGAGGTTACAAGTGATGGCGTGATGACATGAAGCAGAATGGAGGACCATCCAAACAGTAGCTTTAAAGTTATGTTTTTGTGGACAATATTTAAATATCTTAGTTTGCTACTTTCAAGTTTCGTGGTTTTCAACATTTAGTACATGAAGTATTTTTCGTCCCAGAGTCATACCTAAAGTGTTAATATTGGGACAGTCTCATACATCCGTTAGTCTGGCTGTTAAGTTTTCCGTTAATTGATGACGTGGCGCCCATGTGGACAATGACTGGGCGCCATGTGTCATCTTCCCTACCCAACATCCCTTCATCCCCTCCACCCCCTCCACGGCTCCACCCCTCCATCCCCTCCACCCCTCACCCACCGACACCCTTCCCCTTCCCTGATACCCCCTACCACCAAAAAGCTCAATCTTATCCAACCCACCAAAAAGACCCAAAACCTCTGGGACCAACCAAAACCAAAATGTCTCTCTCTATTCTCTCCTCGCTCAACTATGGCTTCCAAGTCCTCTCCTTGCTCGTTTCTTCTCCAACCCACAACCTTCTCGACTTGCCATTTTCTCCGATCACGCACTCCAAACATGAATTGGATCAGATTCACCAAATTGCAGATCCTATTTTTGCAATTCCCTCGAATTCATAGCTCCATTTTTTGCTCCAATTAAACTTAAAATTAAAACTAGGCAAGCCAGAACTCTTGCTGCAGGAGAAATAGAGAAGGAGAAAGAAAATAATGAGATAGGTTTTGCGGTTGTAAAACGGAGATTGAGGGATCGGTAGAGTCAGCGGTGGTTGGTTTAATGGGAGGAGACAGCGATGGTGGGCTAGAGTACTTTAGACGACGATGGACTTGACACCAAGCTTGAACGATGGACTAGACATCGGAGCTTCTTCTTTGCCTCCAGGAATCACGTCGTTTCGAGGTTCTGCAGCGCATGGATAGATTTGCACTTCATTTTTTTTAATTAAGTTTGAAATTAGAATTTGTGAATTTGCAGAAAGTTCGTGTGAGGGTTGTTTTGTTGTTTTGTATTTGCAGATATGAGAAGGGAGAGAGGGAATTTTAGGGTTTTGGGGGAAGGGAAGGGGCTGGGTTTTTGGGGAAGGAGAAAAGGGTTGGTGGTAGGGGTGGGTATCAGGAAAGGGAAGGGTGTCAGTGGGTGAGGGGTGGAAGGGATGGAGGGGTGTCGGGTGGGGAAGATGAAGGGGTTTTGGGTTTTTTTTTCTTGATTTTTTTTAAATACTTTTATTTAATTAATTATTTTAATATTTTAATATTTGTTTAATGACACATGGCGCCCACTCATTGCACACATGAGCGCCACATCATCAGTTAACGGGAGATTTAACAGTCAAACTAACAGATGTATGAGACCGTCCCAAAATTAACACATTAGGTATGACTCTGGGACGAAAAAAACTTCATGTACTAAATGTTGAAAATCACGAAACTTAAGGGTAGTAAACTGAGATTTACCCTATTTAAATTTAAGATTTTGTATAAGTTATGTATTTTGGTTTTTTTAAATAGTTGAATGGATTAATTCAATTTATTTAAGGTATTAATTATTTTTAGAATAAATATTTAACTGAATATTTGTTTGTAATTAATTATGAAGTTTACATAAACATAGAAATCTATGTTTACGTAAACTTCATAATTATAATCACTCATGTTCGTCGCTAAAGAGATTGCGCGACGACAATATTCATCAAGCAAGGGCACATAGCGCGATGAATAACTGTTGTAGTCACGAAAAGTTTCACTGAAACGGTCATATTGCGTTCAAGCGCTCCCATTTATTGCGCAATTATGACTCGTTTTGCACGACGAAGTACTTCGTCCCGCAAAGTGTTTCGAGTGCTATATAAACACAGTTTCAGAACTCTAATTTTCAAATATTTTGTTTGAAAGGTAATGGTCGATTTGGGAAAAGGTTTTGGCAAAAAGAAAGTTGTAGTGTGAGCAGAGAGGTATCGACGTAAGCAAGTGCCATACTTTGAAGAAAAAAGTATGGCTGATGCGTACGCCGAATTTAGTTATGACATTGGGAGTTTGGTGTGGAGGGAATGTTCTGCCAAGTTTTAGTCTTGGAAAAAGGTCCATGAGGAGGTGAAGTAGTTCATGCTTGGGGAGTTATCGATAAGTTTGTAGTAAATAATGAATAATTACTTTTGTTAAAACGTAGTATTTTTTAAATTACTAATTTATTGTTATTGACATTAATGTAGGTTCATTGGGATGTTGATGAAACCGATGAGAAGCAACGAAGCGATGGGCTGCTGCCCCGGCGGAGGAGGATTGAAGTTGAATTGTAATTTTTTTTGAAATAACATTTTGTGGACTTTATATTTATTTTAATTAATAAATTTATGTTATGTGGATGAGTATTAATATTTACATTAATTATAATACGTATTTGGGATAATAAATTAGTTTTGTTAATTAATTTAATGTTTAATTAGGTATGAGTTTTTTATTTAGATGAAAATAAAAATTTACATTACATAAAAAGAAAACGGAAAAGCATAAAAACAAAAATTAAAAAATATGCATTTTGTGCGACGAAACATGTTTTCGTTGCGCTACTTGTTTAAAATAATAAGTTATAAAGTAAAGGAAAAAAATAAAAAAAGTTGTAAACTTGCACAACGAATACATTGTTCGTCGCTCAAAGGGTATTTGCATAATGAAGATGGTGTTCATCGCACAAAATCATTCGTCCAAAAGTTAACTTTATAATCTGGATTCAGCTGTGCAGAGGCAAAACTGCAGATTTAGCCTCTGCATTCTTTCCCTTTGTTTTCTTCAATTCGGCATTCGGCATTTCCATTTTCTCTCAATTTCATCATCTAATACTCCCTCCATCTTCTTCTCTAGGTTGATCAAGCTATCTCGGTGTGTCTAGTAAACATTTTGTTTTTGTTAGGGTAAAAGTATTAATGTAAATTCATACTAACGCCATGAATTTCGTTGTCTATAGGGATATTGTGTGTGATCAGCGATTGGTGGAGAACAATGAAGAAGGAATTTTCTTCATTTTATTTTTTTAAAATATAAATTAATTAAATTATGTTGAACTTATGTTGTTATGTTTATATTGTGTTGTGAAATTATATTTATATTATATTGTTAAATTTGTACGTGACGTACAAATATGTGTTGTGATGTACGAAGTTAATTGTAATTAACTTCATACTTGTTTTTTTTTATTTTTTTTATTTTTTTATTTTTAGTAAAACTTAGTTTCCCATTCGAGGATTAGTTGGATTTCACCAAGGTCTAAAATATCGCTGATATCGGAAATATCGGTAGTCCAAAAACACGGAAATTTTGATGGAAATATCGGGATATTATCGATATCGATAAAAATTGAATAAAAACCACGGAAATTGTAAGAAAAACTTGGAAATTTTTATTGAAACTTTGCAAGATGTTTATTTAGTCAATTATCTATTAGTTTATCACAAAAAATTGGAAGGAAATGCATTGCATGATGAATTTAACTGATTTAAGTTGATTATATAGCGAGCTGGCAAACATTGTAAGTGTAGAAAATAGGTAGTAATTAATGAAAGAAGTTTAAAGACACCATAATCATTTATATATAATGAATCAGTACAATATTTTACACTTTATTCATTACATCGTAAGATACATGAGTAACT